AACTTGCCAGTGTGCTGAAGGTGTCCGCCGCACACTTCATTCTACGTGGGTCGCTGGCTGCCTTGAATGAAGTGACGATACGTGTCCAGTGGAAGCCACATAACGCGGCGGCGGCCGTCGTCGTCGGTGGGATGGCGGCGGTCGGAGGCGCGAGGCTGAACTGTGGATGCACTCTGCCTCAGCTCAGGAAGCGGTGTGTGTTTGTGCAATCTGGTGAGCCCATGTGTGTGTGCGTGCGTGGCTGAGCGTAGAGGTGAGCTCTAGCCGTGAGCGCGGGGACATTTATGCGTATTGGGTATGTTGGGTTCTGGGGAGGAGCACGTCACGTTATTAGTGAATCTAAATTATTGACATCAATTGAATTATTAAAAATCAATAAGGTAATTCCCAGTATTATATATATATATATATATATATATTAAATAACGGAGCACCACCTTGAGCTAACAGGGACTAATGACCCAACAATAACTGAAGTCTCATAACTGATATTCACTAAGAGCAAAGGATTGACGGTTTAGGTTTGAACGCCTCCAACCCTGCATCACAGTACACATGCACAAAGTAATCAAACTGCTCCTTAAATTATAACGTAGCTTATTAACAAGTCACTACTATGCAACATTAACAACTGTAATACCATATTTGATTACCTCAACAGGTACAAAAAACATCCATTTAAGCATGTGGGGGCGAGGGGTGTCCGTTTAAAAGCCTAATATGAAGTTGATGGAGATCTGTGGAAACAGGTGTTTGTGCCCTCTAACATGAATGCCAGATGGTGGCGTTAGAAGAAGCTTCCTCGTTGAGCTTCTTAGGCCAAGACCGGAGACGCTGGAGCTCTTGGGAAAAGTGAGCGCGCGGGTCTCCCCGACGAGAGTCGGTCCGGAAGGCGTCTGCTTGAAAAGGTCTAACAGCTGTAAGCTGGAGATTCTTAATCCTTCATCCTTTCATTCCACTAAGCCAAACACCCATGGACCCCGGTGGTGTCTGTGGCTGGACCAATCAGATCTCAGCGCTCAGAGTGTCACCAGGAGATGTAGCAGCACTGGAGCCCGAAAACCCAGCCTTTTGTTACATAAAACAGGGGGAGACTCTTCTGGTTCTATACAAGTCTAGTGAAAAATTACTACTTCGCTCTTGATTTATTCCCTCAATGAATATGAGCTAATGGTCGCAATCTCTAGTTTCAAGTAGGTTATGGTCCATTTACAGTCAAACAGACCATAAAGCAGATTATGACATTGTGACCCGACCGTTATACGGCGTCTTTACATTGGTCCTCCACAGCCCAAATATGGTGACTTCTGTTCACTGGTTCACAACTACTTCCACACCGAATAAGCAGTTCATGCTCAGCTAGGCGATTACGGCCTGATGTCTCCTCTCATACAATGAGCATATTTGTTATTGAAACGTTGAACTGGCTTCAACCAACATAACTACATTTAGTGAGAAACTTGAGTTATTATTTGCTTCATATCTCGTTCCTCACAATGTGATTTCATTAAAAGAGGAACACTTATTATATTGAATTATTGCCCAGCACCCGCATTGCACACCCCTGCAATTGAGCCAACACCCCTTGTATGTGTGCGGCTCAGCAGCTCTAACTGCATGTGTGCGTTGCACATTTGTCATTTGTCAAAATGGCCACAAAGTGTGTTGTGTGGGTCTTATGTGTGCATCCGTTTGCCCAAGTGGAATGAGGGCTTTTTGTGTGTGTGTGTGTGTGTGTGTGTGTGTGCCATCTTGTATACCTATATCTCATTAGTGTTTACTTTTTTTTTTTTTTTTTTTTAAGGAAAGGAGTCGAGGAAAGATGGTTAGGAGAATTCACGAGGAGTTAGGAAAAGACAACCGTGGTGTTTAGGGAATCCAACTGGTTGTTGTGATGCGATGAGAGACGCATGTTAGTGATGTCAGTGTGCAGCGGCGTAACTACAAAGGAGCTTGGATGCCTTTATCTGTTGTTACAGTGCGGAGTCAGGTTCACAGTATTACTTTATTATTAACAATATAGATGAGATTTACTCACATGATTCGCGTTTCTCGGTCATGATCGTTATTTCTTGAACGGCCGAAGGATACGTTGTTATTTAAATATTGCCGCCGTAAGGAATCTCTTAAGGGTGGTGCAGTGGTTCCTATGCTAAAGGAGCTAAGTAGAAAGCCATTGAAGCTCCTTTCCTTTAGCATTAGAGAATTCTCAGAATTCTTAGCATTAGAGAGCTCTTATCACGACGCCCACTTACACTACTTCCTGGTCATTTCACACAGTCAGGACCCTTCCTAGGCTGGATTCGAATAGTCAAATTTTCTTAAGTGGCCGATACGTGCGCGTCACTTCCTGGAAGTGGGGTCACAGTTTTGACCAGAGGCCGGATGGTGAGCAGACAAACGAGTGAGAGCAAGCGATCCGGGCCTGTTGCAGTAATTACCAGCACTCCCTTCCACACCAATACCAGCCGCACCCCCCGCCCTCTCCAAGGGGACGTTGAGTCGACAGATATTGATGTTCTGCAAGAAAAGGTTAAATGAGCCGGCCCTTTCTTCCTCACTGTCGGGGTGTTTTTTTGTCCATTGGTTACTTTTCTACTTTTGTTGTTCGTGTTTACGTATCGAAGCGAAAGTCAATGGGAAAGTTTGTGATGGACAGACTCTGATGTTGCTTTTTCTCCCCCATTAAAGGAAAAGAAGCTGTCTGGCTGTCAGGAATGTGAAGTCAAAGCCTCCATTGATTGTCTGTCTCTGCACTTTCATTCCATCTTAGAGGCGGAATGGACAAAAAAACCTGCTGCTCTTGAAAGTGTGTGTGTGTGTGTGTGTGTGTATATATATATATCTATAATATATATATATACGTGTGTTTGTGGGTGCGAAAGGGTGCCGGATTTGCTGTGTGAGAAACTATTATTAAAAAATTAAAGTCTCTCACTCACACACACACACTCAAGACAACACACAGCAGACAACACAAGCTCTTGTGATGCATTCCTTTGTGACGTCAAACCCGACGCCTCTGGGTTACGCGGCCCTGCACAGGATGTCAGAGAGAGAGAGAGACAAAGACAAAGACAACAAAGAGAGAGGACCATTCGTGTGTGTGTGTGTGTGTGTGGAAAAAGTTCAAGTTAAAGAAAAGCGTCTCGAGAGGATTTCTCAGCGCAGTGAAAAGGAGAAGCGCGTGCAGCCCAGAAAGTGACTGCAAATAGCTTGAGTCTCACTTCCCTGTAATAAGTGCCTCCCCTCCCTGGCTTGATGGGCGGCCTTGCCCTGCGCGCGCTGCCCGGCCTGCCAGCGGAGGGGAAGGGTGGCACGGCAGGGCATGTGATACAGCCGCACCGCAGAGGCCCACGTCCCCGCGCTGCGTTCTATTTTCATGGAAACAAAGGCTTCCAAGGCCGTGCGGTCGCACAGCACTGGCTGGTTACCAAGATGTGTTTACTTCCAGGCTTGTTACATTTTACATTGTGCACTTCTCTCATTTGGAATTTTGCTGTGTTTAGAGCTCTGTCGCATCAGGCACGTGTGTCTGATTGATCCACCATCATGGCTGCGCCTCCCTGTCAATAAGGCTCCATCGATCTGATTCTGGACCCTGTTTTCATCAAATGCTTCTGGTTATTGTCGTATTTAAGAAAGGAAATGGACAAAGTGGAATTTCTGCTCTAAACATGGTGAGGTCCAGAGATGGCTTTGCTAAGGGCTTAAGGCACATTGTTTCGTTGGTTCCTCTGCATTTTAATGACCAATTTACAATGTGAAGTTGGAACCTGAACGTGTTTAGCTGTCCCAGCATGATTTGGCAAATTTTATTAAAGATTTAATTATTTTATAAAACAGTTGGGACACTGAGTATCAAACATTATTTTTTATTTCATTGTCATCCCTTTTTATTTATTAATGTTTATACACACACACACACACACACACACACATACACACACACACACGTGTGTGTATATATGTATTTTTTCAATCTTTCAATCACAGTACTTTTGCATTCAGAAGCGTATAAGGCCTCCGGTCACAATAAGGAATGCTAATCATCCGATCCCCCCCGGCGGGAGATTGTCTCTCTGTGTTTGAGAGAAACCGCAGACCTTATTCATGGATCTTCTCACACTTTAGCATGATCGACTCTGACAAAACGCTGGCAGACAACACTGTTGTTGGTCCGTTTAACTACAAGCAGTTGTACGCTTTTGTGACCGTGATGAAGTCCACGTTGTGCTTCATTTAGCCCGCGGGAGGTCACTGAAATTCGGACACATTTAGATGGGCTGGTTTAGTTTGGGGCTCTCTTAATGGTGCTGCAATGAGGCAATATAAGGATGCGCAGTATATTTGTTTCTGGCCATATTTTGTTTACCGCTCAAAAAATATGATTATCAGAATTAAGGTTTATTTGTAGAAATACTAGTTTTAAATAAAAGATGACTTTGGAAAGAAAAACATCCAAAAACGGCTGAATATTTTGGAATGAGTGTTTAAATAACATATGTTCATGGTGACTTTTGATATTGTTTTTCATTTTTCACAGTTCAGTTCATATATATTTAAAAAATTCAATTTTTTTATATATTTTTTTATATTGAAAATATTCCTGTAGCTGATTTACAATTAAAGCCTTGTTGTGGCTCTCAAGGTAGAAAGCTTTTAATCTGAAGCAGCAGCAGGAAGTGTTTGGCTTGTATAACACAGCGACCACGCAGGAGCTACTGGACTCTAAGCACTCATTTTCAAAATGGCACCTCCTCTCCTTTTGCCCATTTGGCCACCTGGTATCAAAATGCAAGTGAACTCAGTCGTAGCATAGAAGACTTCATTTGTCACGGTCAGTTTGAATCGTTGCGGCACAAAGACCGCGAGGGGTGAGAAAATGTGCGTACTGAAGAAACAGATAAAGGTTCCTGCAGGGATGCATCTAGTTTTGTTTGAATCATATATATATGAATATATTTCACTTTCACAACCTCTCTTGCTTCCCTCCCCAGTCCTCCTGGCTCAGCCCATAGAGAATGAATGTATGGAGGGTCTGACGTTGAAGATCACAGACTTCGGCCTGGCCAGGGAGTGGCACAAGACCACCAAAATGAGCACAGCCGGCACCTACGCCTGGATGGCCCCCGAGGTCATCAAGTCCTCCACCTTCTCCAAGGGCAGCGACGTCTGGAGGTGAGCGCTTGTGTGTGCCGCTCAGTTTGTGCGCGTGAAGGTGTGGTTATGTGCTATTTATCTTACCACAGCACCTTTTAAAGGAAGTGTTGGAACTATTTCCTTTAAAGGTGCAAGGTGTGACTCTAAATGTGATCACAATGCATGATATAGGACTTGATACTAGAGACTGAGACGCAGAGAGATCTGTTTAAGTTTAAGACGCATGGGCTTCGATCTTCAGGTTGTCGCCTGGTACAAATATAGTTGTGTGCTGAACGTGCGCTGGCCGCCGCACTCCGGGGACCGAAAGCGCGATGCACATAGAGGGGAGAGGTGATGGTGGGAGACCGAATGATGGATCGCAGCGAGACCGAACCGCAGCCACGTGACGGCGTCTCTTCAAAGGGCGGCTCTGTGCTTTGTTGAGGGACATCTGTAGTGCACACTGTCCCATTGTCCCTGGCACAGACGGAGAAGGAGGCCACACAGCAGACCTAACCGCAGCCCTTTATCTGGAAATAGATTTGCGTGTGTGTGTGTGTGTGTGTGTGTGTGCACGTTCACTTGCTATGGTTTCATGTAAAATCCAGCGGGACCGTTTAATCCACTCTTAAATGGGTCTTTGCAGACCCACACTGGGCATATGTAGAACCAATCGAACACGCTGTTAGAGAACCTTTTTGAAAACGAGAACATCAATAAAAGGTTCTGCTATGCTGCAAGCTACTTAAGGAATTTTCCGGTGCATTTAGGAACCCATTTTAGTCAGTGTGTGTTATTTTAACTACCTTAATGGGATTAGTGTCCCTCTCAGACACACAGACATGCTCTCCATCTCCCGTCTGTCAACAACAAACCCGCGCAAGCTCATTTTCACAGCGAATCACAGCGTGAATCTCAAAAAATGAGCAAAAAATGCTCTCAAAACGGAGGGTAATCTTTATTGTATTACTCCTTTTCTCATCTGTCCACGGCCCGCTCGTCCCCAAAGCCGCCATGCGAAGACAGCGACCGCCTCAGGGAGAGGCGAGCAGCACCTCAGCGCAGTCACAGTGTGTGGAAGTTGTAATTAAAGAACTAAAATAAATAAAAAAGTCTGCGGCCTGCGCTCTCCACTTAGGTCCAGGCAAAGGCTAATTGATGGTGTTTGATCCAAGTCCTGGGCCACGCTTCATCTTCTAAGGACGCTGCTGCCATTGTGTGGGCTCAAAAGTCCTGTCTGTGTGTGTGTGTGTGTGTGTGTGTGTGTGTGTGTGTGTGTGTGTGTGTGTGCGTGTATGCGCGTGTGCTTGTATGAATTCTGCATGCATGAGTTCTCATTGCACAAGCACATGTTTGACTAAGCAAAAATGTTCCACCTCGCAAATGTGTCTTGTTTCTGTACCGTCAGCTCTGTGATGGCGAGCGTGTAATGTGAAGGTGTGATGTGCTGTAGCAAGGAGAAAAAAATCCCCGTCAAATATTTAAACACGAGTCCTCGATTGACGTCATATAGTATTTAATTTCTCTTTTTGTGATCTATTACTATCTATACTGTAAATATGATGTGGGCATGTTACAAAAGTCTCATGTATGCGGATCGTGCTGTACTGTCTGCGTTGTTAAAGCACAGCATGGGGTGTGTTTTCTCCTACTATATATCTGTGTTTAACTTGTGTGTGTCCCCCCCAGCTATGGTGTTCTGCTGTGGGAGCTGCTTACAGGAGAGGCGCCCTACAAAGGGATCGATGGACTCGCCGTGGCCTACGGAGTCGCCGTCAACAAGCTCACCCTGCCCATCCCCTCCACGTGCCCCGAACCTTTCTCCCAGCTCATGTCAGGTGTGGAGACATAGTCGCCATGAGCCCGGCGCACTTTTTCCATTTCATTTTTCTTTCGGGAGATCACGTTACAAACCATGTGCTGCGCGTCACGTGGCCGCAGAGAGGAAGTGTTTTGCACGGTAACCTCCTTGTGCAATATGCGTTCTTCCTTTGTTCAGTTTCAAGTTAAAAAGAGATGTCACCTGGGTACCTTCTGACATGCCAACGTCACCCTCCTCAGCCAAGAAGTAGGACAGATAGCTTTAGTGTGTCCCGATGGCTTTAATGCTTGTGTTTAAGAAATAAAAAACAAAATGAGATCAGTGCACTAAACCACCGATGGCCACCTCAGAGGATTAATTAATTATCGGATTGGTTTTTGATCTGCTTATGATGCAACAAATTATGCAAAAACCCCCGCAGCAAATTAATTACGCATAACACTTTGAATAAGTGATCAGCTTGACTCTAGTTTAGGCTCTCACAAGGGCCTGAAGTATGTGCAAATAAAAAAGTACTTTTTGACCTGATTCAAAGTCTTCTAATTCTAAAGAACACCTGTCTATATGGTAATTGGTCAATGCTACTCGCTATGTATTTGAGTTGCTTCTTTCAGGCCCATGCTAAAAAGAAGTAAAACGAACGGATGGAGGGAAGTTTTGGGAACTTGATGTCAAATTTTTCCACTCCTCTCACAGAAGCGACTCGGTACCAGACTAAATGAATCCTATCCCGCTTGATACGCAGTCCACTCTGCTGTGGTCCGCCTTGTTTGTTATTAGTCTCTTATCTGCGCGTGCTGCAGAGAGCGTAGCAGTAATTACCCTGTATCTGAGGTGCTGCATAGGGACCCTGGTGTCTGACTGTGTGCTATGTGTGGGATAGGGTGCTGGGACCAGGACCCCCACCACAGACCCAATTTCAGCTCCATCCTGGCCCAGCTGACGGCCCTGGAGCAGCAGGTGAAGGAGGAGATGCCGCAGGAGTCCTTCCACTCCCTGCAGGAGGACTGGAAGCTGGAGATCCAGGACATGTTCGATGAGCTGCGCGCTAAAGAGAAGGTAGAAGGCAGTAATTGAGTAAAGGAACCATTTGTGTACCTGTTTTTGTTCATTCATCTACTTCGACCAAAAGATGATCCCTACAAAAACAGATTTCCAGGCACGTGTATCCCTGCAACTTTGCTTTCTTTGTATCAAGTTACAAAGCAATTTAAAGGGCCGGTGTATAAGGGATCTATTTGCAGAAATAAGATATAATCTACACTACTGTTTTTGTTAGTGTATAATCACCTGAAACTAAGACTGGTTGTGTTTTGGTCAGCTTAGAATGAGCCTTTTACATCTACATGGGAAAGTCCACCATGTTTCTAGCTCCAAACGGATCCACCAAATATCGTCTCCAAAGAGGTTTTAGTTGGTCTGAATGCTACTGTAGTTCCTCCAATCAACAATCCTAAACTCTGCATAAGAAGTGGACGTGGTCCCTGTGATGTCCTTGCAACACTTACTAGCAAATCTAGCAATCTAACTTTCACCAATATTGCTAAATCAAGATTCAACAACAGGCCCATACATACAGTGCAACTTTTTAATACACCTTCAAACACAAATCAGTGGAACATCCAAAAAAGGTCCTCTTGGCATTAAAGCCCTCTCCCATTAGCCCACCTCCTCCTCCTCTCTCCTCCACCAGGAGCTGCGATGCCGCGAGGAGGAGCTGAAGCGTGCGGCCGTGGAGCAGAAGTCCCACGAGGAGTTCCTGCGGCAGCGCGAGCAGCAGCTGGCCCAGTGGGAGCAGGACGTGTTTGAGCGCGAGCTCAGCCTCCTCATCCTGCACCTGAACCAGAACCAGAACCAGGAGAAACCCAACGTCAAGAAGAGGAAGGGCACCTTCAAAAAGCACAAGCTCAAGTGCAAGAACGGGGAGAAGATCAGCATGCCTCAAGGTAAGCGTGTCTCTCTGTGTGCGTTTGTGTGTCTTTCTTCAAGCTTCTTTTTGAGTTTTTCTGTCACCAACACGCCAACTAGCCGGCTTGTGTCAGCCTACGGTCCTGACAAGAAATTCCATTTCAAGGGTCATTAATGGCTCAGTCCCAAGAAGCAGCAAAAACAACAACAGGCCTCAAAAAATATGAGCGAGCGGCAAGGAGGAAGAGAGGGAGAGAGTTTGTGGTGCAACTGTGGTGCTTTGCGGAAGGTTCCTATCAGGACAGGATTTGTGTGGGGATAAAGGCAAAAAATAACTCTAAATTACATTATCTGTTGTTTACTTTTATTTTGAAAAAGTTGTTTTCTTGCCCACAAGACCAGCGTTAAACGTTTAGGGGACAAAAGGTGGACCTCAGTGACCATCACACTCCTGTTTAACACCCAACGGCTGCGACCCTCCTCCATCATCTGTTATCGTAAAGTCACACAGCAAGCCGCAGTTCACATCCAGAGGGTCTCAATGTGTGTGTGAGTGTATTTTAGGCAGAGCAAGCATGCGTAAATACAGTGTGTCCGTGTGTGTGTGAAGGTTGTGGTTAGGCCTTTCCCAGCAGCAGCAGCAGCAGCGTGTGTGTGTGTGTGTGTGTGTGTGTGTGTGTGTGTGTGTGTGTGTGTGTGTGTGTGTGTGTGTGTGTGTGTGGTTGATGAGAGGGGAGCGTGAGGCAACCACGCCTTGTTACTTCCTGTCTATGGACACACTGCTGGCTGCTCTCTCTCTCTCTCTAGGTATTCCTCCCTCACCCTTTCTCTCTCATTCCTCTCCCCTCGGGCTCCCTAGTCTGTTTTTATTCTCTCCTCCTAATTATACCTGTCTGACTCACTTTCTTTTGTCTCGTCCTTACCACCAATATTATTATCCTTTATGTTCTTTCTTCATTTGTTGCTCTTTCTAAAAGCGCTATACAAGTACAGTCCATTAGCTGTTCTTTTAGTACAAATAAATGAGCAAAGAACACAATTATTGATTAAGCTTGAGTTACTGCATTTTTTTGTGGAATTTATAATTATTTGCAATTCATTTGATGTGAAACCATATCATTAATCCAAAGTGATATATTCTTTGTTTCATTTTTTTTTATGATACTCCCTATTTAGACCTCTGCATTTAATACCACTTTAGATTTCCACAAGTAAAAACGATAGCCTTTAAATATAAGTAAATAAGTTAAAATGGTAATTTAGGACTTCAAGATCAACAATCAAAGAGAATGAATGACCGATTACATTATTTCTATAAAAAAATTACAAATTGAGGGAAGAAAGGTTATGGAAGAAAAATGGGAAAATTGAGTGCACATTCATTTGAGGGCATGAATAAGGAAGGAAAGCTGATACATTATTAATTATAATTTAATAATTTATTAGATCAGCTTTCCTTCCTGATACCCATCAAGTAGTAAAGATCATGATTAATCTTTCTTGCTCCTCTCAGCAACAAGTGCTAGCTTGCTACATGCTAGTAGTCACTGCTAGAGGCTAATTGCTCTTCAGAAAAATGAGCCTTCAAGTTCATTGAATAATTAGTCATTTTAAAGTTTCCCTCCTGAGCCTGGTAGCTTATTTGCTGTGTCAGCTAGTAGCAAGTAGCGGCATTACCATGCTGTCAGTCACAGCTACGTTTGTAGTTCATGTTAAAGATGGTTTCCCCAAGTGCAGTCTAGAATGTACGAATGTAAAGTAGACAATGAAACCCAAAGTTGTGTTGGCGTCTGCCACCCAGGTGCGTGCTCTAACGTCTGTCGCGTGTGTTTGCGTGTTGCAGATTTCATCCACAAGATCACGGTGCAGGCTTCCCCAGGCCTGGAGAAGAGGCGGAACTCTCCCGATTTGGGGTCGGGCTCCTCGCCCTCCTTCGGCCCGCGTTTCCGGGCGATCCAACGTGAGTGCGCTTGATTTTCCCCCTTTGGATCAACACACAGGTGCACGCGCTTGTGTCTGCGTTCAGAGAATGTGGGATGGGTCGCCTTCCTGCGTTCACACAGACTCCGTTGCAGCACTGCTTCTCTTCTAAATGCTCTCCTTTCATGTGCTTTCAACCACCCACTTGTCTTTTTTTGTCTTCACATGTTTCCCTGTTGGTCCCTCTGACTCCCCCTCCCTGCTCTCTCTCTCTCACACCCTTTTCCCTTTTCCACTGTCCAAATATTATCTGACTTCCTCTGAGCCGCTCAGCACTTCTCTGCAGCTTTGTTCTTTCCACTGCAGCCCTGCTGTGCCCCCCCCCCCACCCCACACCCCCCCTGCAGTTTCGTCATTGCTGCAGCGGGTGGAGCCATCGAGCTGTAATTTCCAGGCAGACTGAGTACACAGTTTTATATGCGTGTAGTGGCTACAATGCGGTGTACTGAATTAAAAATACGCAGGGAGGGATTGATTGCTCTTGTGGAAGGTTGAGCAGGGTGTTGCGGCAGCGGCAAAGATTTACAGTGTTCAGCTACTGGGCCACAGGGCGTCTTAACCAAGCCCGGGAGGAAATCTGTGGTGGAGCAACAAGCAGTGAAAGGGATCTTTTTTTTTTAATCTAAAGCATTCCCAAACGGGTGGGGTTTGACATAAAAGCACAAATGATAGTAAAACATTTGTTTATAAAAGTGGTTGGTAAATCTAAAACGTGTGCCAGCTCCTTTTATTCATCAACTCGACTTTCTTCACTTGCTAACGACTCTCCTTAATGGCTGCCACTAAGCGGTGGGTATGTCTGTCGTTAAAATGTGTTTAGTGGGTATTTATGCTTGCCCTCTCAGTCGTGAGTCCTGATGTATTGCTCGGGCCCCCCTGACTTATTCGTCTAGAGATCTGCCAAATTGATTTGCGTTAGTCTCTGTGTTCCATTGAACAGGATTTTCATTCTATTACTACAAATGAGTACAGGAGGGAACAATGAGACCTACTGAATAATCAACTCAGAAGTAACCAGTCTCTGAGTTCCAGTGAACTGAACACAGGAAAGTGGAACCTTCCTGTGCTTTTGAGGGACGTTTTGAATCTGTACTCACATAGTAGTTGGCCTTCTTAGCATGTCAGCGTGCTGGTCGATGGGCCTGCAGCTCATGGATGTCCCTATACTCGCTACTCTTGAGCTTCTCTCTTTGGCCTTAAATCATTCCAGTTTGTCTGATGATAGAAAATGCCAACCGTTCTAGCGACACAGCTACGTACTGATGGCGGTGGAGCCACATTTTCAATGGGTTGGGATGGTTTGGTACATGTATTCACGGCTCCAAGAGGATGATTTGCTGATGCCCCAAACTCCCAGAGGTCAAGTTCACTCATCTAGATTGTTACACACATTTATATCCTCCTCCTGGATCAATTGTAATCACTTAAGTGGAGTTATACCTACAGAGCTAATGACTATTGACAGACTCACAGGGTTCATCGTAATTGTTTTTCCTTTTTTTCTTTCAGAAATGTGCTTGCACCAGGCCAAATTCCTGCTTACAACAATACAATTTGTGTATTAACTTATCAAATGAGACAAGACTAAAGCATAATGTTTAATCAATCTGGGGTTTTGTCCAACGCCACCAAACTAAACACCGTTACCTGCTGACGGTCTCTTATTGCATGCTGAGCGGTACTGAGCATGTGCAAACCTTAAGAGGTCAGAATAAAGCAAGTTGTCCTGCTGTTTAGCTATTTCCATCGTCAGCTCCTGAAAAAATGACACGCGTGGAATGTTTTGTAGCGCTTGCCTGATGGGATAGATCTAAATGTACTGGACACAACGTGTTCATGTGCTCAGGCGGTCAATCCTTCTGGTGGAGCTCCGCCTCTGCAGCAGTGTTATCGCTTTAAGATGGTTACCATGGGAAACGCAATCCTGCTAAACATCAGCATGCTGGCATTTAATCTGAGCATTTCTGACTTCCAGATCACATACTTGCGTCTACACACTACACTGTTTACTAAACGGACACTTAAGTATGATTAATTGTATGTGTCAATAGTATGCTAATGTGATGACCGGCTCCTCATTTCTCTGGAAACGTCGTAACGCTAGAATAAGCTGATCACATACTGAGAATGAAATAATTACTTTCCTGCCTGAAAACATATCAACGCTTAACAAAGTGACACATGAACCACCTTTGGCCTAATTTAAAATCACAAAGTAATTTAAAAATACGTATTACGCACATGCAGACCTTTTTTTTGGTTAGGGGTTAGGGTTTGTAGAAGAGTACGCTGGGCCAAGCCCCCTAGTGTAGGCCAAATAAAATAATCCCACATGTTTTATTCAGAGAGCAGCTTTACCCAAATCTAAAGCTGAATTTCAATGACACAAAATAGAAAAGCGCCACAACTCAGTTTTTCTTGCTGAAATTAGCGATATTCTGTTGTGATGTGTTATGAAGGCTGCGTAATGTCGGCACGTGGTTGAATGAGGCCCAGCAGACTCTGCACAGGCTGTGTGTGAATAAAGGTTCACGCGGCGCTCACACCTTGGTGTTAGCAGCGGGAACCGGTTGCGGGGTGTCTGGGGGGGGGGGGGGCTGGTGGTGCTAGCGCCTGGGGGGAAGCGTGTCAATGGCAGTTTAAATTCCTTCAACTTTTCATTCGCACTCTGGATCTCCTCATGCATCTCTTCCCGGGGCTTCCTCCTTCTTACACGTTGTGCTCCGCCAACCGCTCTGGTTACCAGCTATTCTACAGTCAGCCAGGACTTGAGCTGTACACAAATATGAGCATAAAAAAGTCACAGGAATTCTTGTGATTGTAGCAGTCAATTAAAGGTCAATGTGTTGGCAGGTGATCGCAGGCTTTTGTCGATTTATTGGTGAAACCTGCCTTTTAAATATGCAAACCTCCATTAGAATACAGCTAGGCAGTATGCATACTGATCACATCAACGCCAACATCATCTTCTCCTCTCCTTCTTGTCCCCCCCCCTGCAGTTAGTCCCAGTGACAACAGCAGGTTGTTTGGTCTGAGCCCGGTCTGGCCCCTAGAGGCCCCATCCCATAAACAAGCCAATGGCGACCTGAGATTGTGTCCCCATTGGAGGCCCCAGAGCCCGAAAAGTCCTAAAAGCCCCAAAGTCCTGCGCCTTAGTCCCCAGGAAAGCAGGTAATGCAGCCCGTTTTCCTCCACAAAGAAACAAAATGTAGGATTTGATCACGCTCAACGTAATTCTTTACCATGCTGAAATATTTTTGAATTCCTTTGCTTCTCCAGTCTGTCGATGAGGGCCAAGCTCCTGGAGTCAGACAGCAACATGATGGGGGAATCCAAGGATGACTTTGAGGAGTACAGACCCTCTGCGCCAACCCCTCCTCCGGCTCAGAACGGTACCCGACACCTTCCATCACCGGCTTTACCGCCGCAGATCTTCCATTAGCCACCGCTTCCACTCACACGGTCGACACTGTGAAATATGCATAAAAGCTAAATGAATAATAAATGTCTCTTTCTCCTTCTGTGTATCTTTTAAAAAAAGCAGTGTTTTTTTTTTCTCTGCAGGCTCTCCAGTGAAGGACAGCCTGCGGGTTTCTCTACCTCAACGAGACTCGGCCAGCGAGGAAGGCTGTCCCTCCCCGGCTGGCTCTCCCAGGCCCGAGAGGTTATCCCACGGTGGCCTCATTAAAGGCACCCACCAGGCCCTGCTGGGCGGCGGCTCTCTCCTGGCCTCCATAGTACTGGGCCGCTGCCTGGAGATTCCCCCAAGGGTGCCCCCTCGAACTAACCTCCCATGTTTAGACAGCCACACCCCTTCTGAACTGGAAATATCTGCGCCGATGCCCCTCATTTCAGACCCCCCAGTGGTGGACGATCTCATCACCTTGTCCCCCTCCGAGCTGCTCCCCAAACCGCTTTTCGATTTAGCTCTGCAGTACCAAGAACTGAGGCCTTTGCCCCTGACGCCACCTCCGCCGAACCCCCGTGAGAGGAGCATCCACCGGATACCGCATAGTCCGCATTGCCCCAGGACCCCCCTTCAGCATGGCAAGGCCGGCCTGGGAGAATGGACCCCAAGTTCCCATTCCACCAACGGGGAACTGGCCTGTGAGGCGTGGGAGCACAAGGCTGACAGGAGGAGGAGGTCCAGCCAAGGCCTGCACGCCTCTCAGCTCGGTCAGTGTGACGCGGTCCCCTTAAAGGAGAACCTCTCCCATTTCACAAGTCAGTGTGAGCTGGGGTCACTCACCGGGGGCTGTGAACTTGTGTCACCAGACAGGGTGCAACAAAAGATTTGATCAAGTTGCACGACTCATACCAGAGGTTAAAGGTTGTATGACTTGACTTCTGCTGCTTTTATTTTATTCCATTTCTGTTATTAGGGTCCTCGCAACGACTAGTCTCAGAGGAACCTATTGTATTTCGAAGAATTATTATTATTCTCTCACGCAACAATTGCCTTTTTGGGGACTTTATCATATTCAAAAAGTTGTTAAATTTGGCACACTTATCAGAACTGGTGAAAAATTTGATAATTTTGGGGTCTCGCATTTGGGTACAAAGAAATGTCTCCATAGTGCCCCCTAGAAATTTGAAAAGTACCTCACTAGGCCAATTTTTCCTCCGGATGCCTGATTAACTTGAAATTTGGCACACATGTGCTCTTGGACATGCTCCAAATGCTACAAAAAAGTCAATCATGGTATTCAAATGCGTCTAACTAGATCTTCCGCCATTTTGAATTTTGTGAAAAACACGTTTTTCACCATTTCTCCTAAACGCTATGTCCGATTGTCACGATGTTTTCTGTGGATCATTATTGGATCAATGTTCCCCTGCCCTATCAATATCATCTTGATATGTTCTTGTTTTGAGAAAATATGAGCTAATGAACTTCGCAAGGGGTGTGGCTTAATCTTGCAAGAGTCATAACTTCCAAATGATTTGGCCTGCCCTCACCAAACTTGTAACACATGTGAACATTGAACCCCTGACCACACCCTGATATTTTGAGAATATTTGAAGAATAGGGGGCGCTGCAATTAATCGTTGTAAATCTGCCCTTTTGGCCTATTTTTGGCCTATTTTCGTGATTTCCTAGAGTTATAAAAGAGAAGTTGATTGTTTTTTTTAGTTTACACCCTGCTCCACACAGGTTTTGCACCTCAAAGGTTAATCTGATCCCTCTCAAAATTTCCTAGCAGAGAGGTAAGACCTTGATAATGCTACACTGTGAACATTGTAAGAATCCGATAATCGGTGGCGAGATGGTGCATCGGCAAAGCTGATCCTTCGCCAAGAACAACTAAACCGTTGTAACTATTCCACATCATCGTATTTATTCCAATTCAAACATGTTTGATGAGACTCTGGGCCTGAAGAGACGTAAAGTTGAATCAAGTCATAGTGCCACCTAATGGTAACAGGAAGTAGAATTTGGTAATTTATGACATCTCGGGTCGCTCCACACGGTTAACGACGACTAACTCTCGGACGCTTTGTCCGACGGCCGCAGGGGTTCTTGGCTGCGTATCGAGCCGTCCGGCCTGTGCCCCGATGAGTTGTGAGGACCCGTCCAACGCTGCTCGCAGCGTTAATTTCCATTTGTCTTTTGCAAGGCTACTGAATGAGTATATTATCATTTATTTCCATTATAAATTCATTTTTACTCACCAGCACTAAATATGTTTTTTGGAGGCTCCTCACTGAAATAGGATCCAACCTTGAATAATCTACGTTTTCAGCACGACAATGTCGCCTTCATAGTTCTTGGAGTAATTATTGTAACTTTTGTTTTTTAGCACAAAAGAGGCTTTAATGCGGCACATAACTTTTTTTTAAATTTACATCAAAGCTCGTCTTCAGCTGTTTGCATATCTCAGCTACCAGCTGCCCCTCCCCATTACTGCAACACCCGCTAAGCAAGGCGAGCAAGCAATGTCTTTGTTTTTTCCCTCTTTAAAGCGACGGTTTTCTTTTATTTCCAAGTTGGGGATGAATGCAAAACATCCAGGGGCACAGCTGAGATCATGCAGACCGAATATGCTGGATTAAAAAAAAAGCTAATATCTCTTATTGACTTCACAGCCTGCTCACTCTTTCTGGCCAGATAGTTTGTCTGTGTTCCTTGGCTGTATGGACGCTTTTTGGGCCCATTTTCACACGGCAGCATCTCAAATGTATTCTTAAACGCCATGTGTAAGGGAAGCTGCATGACACATGATCCAATTGCACAGGGATTAGTTTTTATTCCCCCCCCCTGAAGTAACATCAGGCTATAATGATGATAAATATTCAGTTCCAAAAGGGCGTATTTAAATACATTTGTTTTAATTCATGTAAGTGTCATGCTAGCGGACCTGATCTGCATACCGCGTACATCTACTCTACGGCCGATCCACGATGTCTTTCTCGAAGACGCTCCGCCACAGTCCAGAGCCGTAGCAATGGAGTCGTGGGTATTGGTTGTTTTAAGAGCGAGTGGGCTTTACGGGGGCTTTAGGGGTGCCCTCTGGTAAAGTTCCACGCACTATATCGGCTCCTTTTGACTCACAAAGCCTTGGCTGCTCCACTGAGATGTTCTCCCAGAGAGAGGTTTATTTCCCAGGCGTTTCTCCGGTGCCTTCATGTGACTCCCGATGGCTCTTTCCTGTCAGATGAATAGCTTCGCTGCCTCGTACAGCTGCTCTTGATGTAAATAATGCCATTAGGCTAACATCACATTTGGAAATAGCAAATGTTCAGTCAAGCTGATTCATTCGGAGTTTAATGTTCTTGTCAGTCCTAATTTACACTTGCAACTAGTTTACAGTGCCATGTTGTGCTTAATTTAGACGAATTGTCTCAAACTTCTCTGCTGGTGACTGTTCCATTCCTTTTTGCAACAATAACGTGCAGCTTTTGTCTTTCATTTAGCAGGTTTATCTGTTTTTCTGAGAACTAGAAAGCAAATAAAAATGTCAGATTGGAGGGGAGCGCATGAAAGATAAGCAGGGCAACACCACAGAGGCTTGAGGGTTTATGTAATTTGCAGATTACCAATTGAAACGTCCTCAAGCAAGAAGGTGAAGTAGAGGACGACAAAGACGCTCAATATGTTCAGCCTTTCTCTGAAATTGTCTTTGTTAAAAGTGGTACCTCACAGATTTTTCAACATAAAGGTCAGTTTAGTTCTCGCGCCACTCAGCCTGTAAAACCAGTTATTTAATGTCTTCTATGGCTCTGAAGGAGGAATCCAAGAAAAGAACCCTGCTATTTTCAGAAAGGCTTTAGACGTGAAGGGTTTCATGTTAAAAATGTGGGAATTTGAAAGGGGGGATTTAACAGGCAAAGATGGTCAGATGAAAGATTCTATTGAGTTGCAATACGGGAAATGTAGGTACCTACCTTTTAAAGGTCGACTTAAAAAATAGATTTTGTCCTTCTATTTATTATTTCTCGCAGTGTTGCAACCCTGTGAGGTACTAAATGGCTGAAGTGCCCAATAATTTGTTTAATTGTTTTGTATCTCTGTTCCTTACAGTTTTGGACCTGCCCTTGTGCCAAGACACACATGACTCTGATGACAAGCCTTCAGTGTCCCTCCACCCAAACTCTGCCCTCTGGAGCCCCAAAACCCGCCGCCTGGAGGTCACCGTCATCCCCCGGCCCCGCCCTTCCTCCATTCGCCCCCGAATCGACCCCTGGAGCTTTATCTCGGCAGGTGGTGCGAACTCAAGTAGTAGCCGCATCCCCCACCACTTGGACAGCAACCCTCTGGGCTACCAACCCTCCCCCACCAACCCTTTCACCAACTGTGACCCCTTCCCCTCAGCGGACTGCGACCCGTTCGCCCTGAAGGCCGCCCCCTCGAGCGGCTCGGACTCGGCTTCCCCCTTCGACCCCTTCTCCACGCCCTTTCCCACCTCCCGCTCCGCCCCGTGCTCCACCAACGGCTCGCCCACGCTGCCCTCGTTGCGCAAAGCGCCCCTCAACCCGGCCGACTCGGCCCTCATCGACCTGGGCTGGGCGGCCTGCGGCAAGCCTCTGGAAGAGAGAGCTCGCCCCCGCAAGACACTGGGGCTCAAACCCTTCAAGTCTCCAACGCAACTCCGAGACGATAGGTTCTAAACCTGCGCCTGTGGCGCGGCCGTGGCTTCAATCACAGCAGCACAGTGCGGGACCCGTTTTACTGCTTAGCAACGATCGCTCAACCCACTGAGGGAAATCTCCCAAATGGGAGCCCCAATCATTGCAGGCCCTTTATGCGGCTGCTTTGGAAACCAGTGAATGGGGTACAGTGGATGGTGGGATAGCTGCCTTTGAACCAAAAGCTGGTGCCAATTTCATTCCCTCCTCTCTATCTTGGTTTATCTTTCCCTTTGAAGGAGCAGAATACCGATCACTAGTCCCATCTTCAGATCCTATCAGACTCCTCACATCACCTGCTTTCATCTCACACTGCATTTGAAGCGTGACAATTCAGTGGTGGATAAGGCGACTTGCACAGCTTCACCTGCCCGTACCTCTCTGCAAACTGAAAGCATTCAGGACAGTGGGGAAATGGAGTGCCATACTTTGTCAAGTGTTTTTAGCATACATCTTCTCAAGATTCATGAATGTTTTTTCTGGTGCGTATGGAAGACGCTATGAATTTGGCTTAAATGTGCAAATCCGCTTAGCATTGCTGTGGAGGAGAATGTTGTCTGTGTGCGCAGGTGCATGTATGTCTAGACTCATTGAGGAAAGCTTACCGCTTCTTTTTTAAATAGAATCTGCCTGTTGCATTACGGGAAAAAGAACTGAATATTCCAGGGCACTCATGAAATCCAAGACAAATCCATGACCCAGACATTCCACTTGGATGCAGATAAAATTCCAATCACGTTCCCCTTGAAATGCCCGGGGTTGGACCGATTCATTCGGCTGGAGGGCGTCACAACACAGGAAACAGGACAGAGGGGGGGGGGGTGGGGCTCTGCGTTCCCTTCATATGCCAAAGAATGCCACTGTGAGTGTGTCACAACTGGGACAAAGGGTGTTTGCAAATCCATTGTTTTTACCAGTGCCAGATGGGCGTTGTCCACCACAACGGACAGTACAGAGACAGTTGAGACAATCACGGATAGTATTTAAAGTTACTTTACATGTACTTTTCTGTGTTTATCATCTTCAATATCAAGCAGGCTGTCTTATCACTACCCGTCTGAAGTAGGAAGCTCCAACCAAATACTACAATACATCTGTATGGAAGCTTCACTTTCTTTATTTGAACTGGCTAATTTGACTGGGCCTTGCAAAGTAAAATGCCTTATGACACACAATTAATCCTCCTCTCCTTGAACCCCAAATAATCCAACAAATTTAGTTTGTGTAACAAAATGTGAGCCACTTATACACTTCTTTCTGGTCAAGAACGAGGTGAAAAGATTTATACCTCGCTTAAATCGGTCTGTTCAACATGAAGCCAGCATCTCACCATACACACCGGGAGCAAAGGAAAAAGTGCTAGTTTGACAATAAATCCGCCTTGAAGCTTCTCTTTTATTAATCAGTGACATTTTTAAGGTGGCCAGGCTCGTAGCCCCCAGAAAACAACTTGTGTTAAACCTTTTGTGTTTTATTCTTCTATTGAAAAACAGTTTTTGATTTAGTAAGTTTTATTTTATTGGACTTTTTTTTACAATGTTCTGGCAGAGCCATGCTGTTTTCAAGTCTTTGTTGGAAGCTAAACTAACCATTGAAGTCTTAGTGTGTCAAAACATTTTTACTTGCATACCTAGTCTTCCTCAATCAAGCCCTGAGCTTGGGAGATGTGGGCGTAGTTTTGCAAGACTAGAGTCACTTGGCTTCTAAACTCTTTTTTTGGAGTTAAAAATCCATTCCAAACCATTTTAACATCACTCTGAAAATCTTGTAGGTTCCTGTGAATAAATGTAATATCATGACCCGCCACCTGGAGGTCACCGCCATCCCCCCGCCCGGCCTCCATTCGCCCCCCTGAATTGACCCCTGGAGCTTTATGTACTTCCAGTATAAAGACAGCAGAGAAGTTCAATATTGAACAATAATACAGAGGAATATTATTTTAGAGAAGGGGAAGGCACTGGAGCAACAACTTGCCCTTTCACGCCTTGTTAACACGTGATTATCATCACAAACGCTCAGGCACTTTCTTCTGGGTTTTTCCCATAAATCTCTGGAAATGTACTCTGAGGCAGGTGGAGGAAAAAAGACAGCAGCCACAAAGACTCCATCACATAAAATAATCCCTTGAATGGGTGTGACATCACAGAGAATATCCTATTATCTTTATCCAATAATTTAGTTAGCTGGTCCTCAAGAATGCGTTCTCACAATCAGTGTGTAGGTCAAGCATGTAAGGAACTGAAAGGGGCCGGCGTGTGCATGGTGCAGAGTCGCCCTGTTACCCACGCCTTTGCTTTGCCTGGCACAAATACTGTAGTGATTGGCTTCATCCCTGACACCGGGTCATTGGGGGACCACGTCGGCTTTGTTCGGATGGAGAGTGAAAACCTTGTCTCCAAGGGTAAGGCTTTGTGATTAGCCTAGTAATCCTTCTGACGAACAGAGGAGGCTGATAGTGATAATTAACCTCTTGATAAGAGCAGAGAGCATTAACAAAGCATTCGGATATTTGGTTAATTAAACCCCCTCCCGACGTTACGTCAATGCCCCGCGTCCTCCTTATATTGAGCTGCTTCCTGCATCATCTCCATTTAAGCGGTGCCCTTTTTATTCTTTTTTTTTTGTCTGGATGTCTGTCCTGACTCTTCTGTTTTCTACTGCCACCGGACCCTCAGCTGCCCGGATTACAACTCACCCTTTTGTATGTCCTTGCCCATCAGGTGATGGAAAGACGATAGTCTCTTCTTACTCCTTTTGCTTCCTTCTTGGGAGCAGCCTTCTCCTCACACTGCAGATCACTCAATCACTCAAAACTCACACCAAGAGACAAGTTTCTGTCTGTGAACAAAAAAAAGCATTTGTTCGAGGACAGAGTCCATGAACCGGGAAGGGCTCATTTTACAGAGGCAATTGAATTTGTTTCGAACTGAAACTGGAACTTTATTGGATATTTTTATTGCACCTTGAAGCGTCCATCGTCAACTGAACATCCAAAGGGACTAAGTACCTGTTAAAAGTCTCGGCGTGCTCCTTGGTCATCCGTGTTTTAGTTTCCTCTTAAAACACCTTCCTGCCACGTATAGTTAAAGAAAAGAAGTCATATTTTCTGCGAAGCGCAGCTATGTTATGTCATCTGAACCAAAAATAATTCAACACTGTGGTTGTCTGTTGGCCCCTGATCCAATCAAAGACCCGTCATGTCAGTACCCGCCCATGAGCGCGGTGGGTCCCGTAGTGCAGAAGTCAAGACGTGTGATGTAGTATGTTTCTCTTTCGGCAGCGCTCCCTACCTTCCCTCGCTCCTCTTGTCCCCTCCGCTCACGTTTTACCAGCCTGAGAAGTGATGAGCTATTACCTCGTCTCTTCCGTGTCAACACACAAGGCCACGAGAGCGATCCCGCACTAGTTATTAGGCCTCGATGGCTGTTATTGTCAACAGAGCTCTGTGAGCAGAAGTGATACATCAAGGAAATTGAGATGATGGAAACCTCGGTCACAAATGCGTGTCAAGTATCCACTTCCACCTGCCACTCATTTCCTGCGGTATGTTTGCTGGGTGCCAGACTTTAATTTTCCACCAGTCCAGAATTTGAAAAATGTTGCCTGCCATTCTCCGCCTGGCTTGAGCCCTTTTAGTAATTTATCCTGAAATATCACGTGTAGTAACAGGACCTGCTGTGCTTTTTATGTACGATGAAGATGCAGTCTCGGTGGAAGTGGTCCGTTTGAAGTGGGGGAGATATATTTATGCCGTTGCATAGAAAGATGTTGGATTATTCATAAATCTGAATCTCACAGAACTCGACACGGATGTCCAATGTTTGGCTTTGGCTGTCACATCCAGGAGCTCACGGAGAGTAGTGACGAGGTGTTTGTGACGCTCTGCACTTCCAGGCATCGGCCCGTCCGTCACTGCAAATCAGGTCCCCGGAGCGCAACCTGTGATATCGGGGCCCCCGGTGATCCGCTTTCAGCCCCGAGGAGACTCGGAGCGCTCATGATATAACAAGAGTTCAAGCTCAGACCGTGGCCCCCAATCAGTGAGCGGCAAACGGTCAATACATTACATGAATGTAAGCTAATGAGACGAGCACAATGGGCGAGCCCAAGGCCGCGACCCTCATCACAATTGATCGCCGGTTGTGTTATTGAATATCAGAGCTGAAAAAGCTATATGAGGCGTAACAGCGGGATGCGTTGCCTGATGCCACCATCCAGCAGCACCCCCACATCATTGGGATTTTATAATCTTATTCGTTATTGGATTTACTCTTATTAAGACACTGATTCTAAATTGAATCCCATTGACTAGTTTGAAAGCTTGAGTTGTATCCTGATGACTCCCGAGGTGGAAGGAGGAAGCGCCCGTGAGAACTTACCTTCTAAATTGCTGCGGCTTCGGGTTTCGGCCTTGTTTCCACTTCGTCACGGTTGCTGAGAGACTTGTAGGATAGAGGGAAAGAATCGCCGTCTGAACACGTGTCACATGTACTTCCTTGAGGAAGTCTTACCTTGGCGGGTCAGTGGAGAGGAAATTCTGAAAGGACACAATAGACGACCTGGCATTTCCAGCGTTTTCACCCCACTTCTCTGTGCTGCTATTGTGCGCTTGTGTTCAATTAAGCCGTCTCACAGGCAGCCGCCAGAGTCGGAGACACATCGTTGCTCTTTCTGGCTCAGATTAAGTGAAACACCTGTCCGGGCCTTTGTTTGACATTAACTGGCCGAGACCAAGTTATCAAATATGACCTTCCGTTGACTGTGCAGGAATTGCACTTCCCGACAGGGATTTGGACTAAATGTCTGTCGGAGGCGCCGGCAGGTGCGTCAGCTAATGCTGCTTCTCTCGATGTGTGAACGTTATTCCTGAATTCTTTTCAGTCAGTGTGTCCAAGGTAACGATCTGCTGTGCTTCTTCATTTTTCTTTAACAACCAGATAAATATAAATAACTCCAACCACAAAAGGAGCACCAATTTTCTTCTTCTCCGAACGGAGGCAGGTGCTTCCTCCAGCAAATACACATGTTTTAGTTTTTTCTATCTGTATTCATTCCTCACACTCACGGCCCACTTCCTTCTTCAACCCCCCCCCCACCCCCCCCCCCCCACAAACACACACACACAACTTGTGATCTTTGTGGAATATGAAGCTGTTATATGAAGCTTTAAATTCTTCTTTTGAGTGTCGAATGGGCCGCAGCTTGTGTCTCCATAATGGAGACAGCCAATGGTTTCTTGTCGTCAACATTGCTCGTGGATGGAAGCGCTGTGATGGCTTGCATCATAAAAAGAGTTAGTTACGCGTGAGGGTGCCTAAGCTTCTTCTATGAGTAGAATATGGCGTCCTTGAAGCTTGGTGATGTATTTATTTCATCTTTAATAATATGTTTCCCTGAAAGAAGATTCCCTGCAATTCCATGGTATTTTAATATTTGAAATATGCTTCCGGTAAAATATTTGTTAAATGTCTTTTTGAGGTGGATAATGGTTTGAATGTGCCGTTGCCCTGCTAGCGAGCCCCATTATCTTGACTCCGAGCTCGACGGTTTCCCTCAAAGGACATCAACGGCTGAAAGTGAACGTGGCAGGATTTTGAATATCAAGCTTGATCAGATTGGAAAAGCGACGCATTTGTCCTCCGTGTCGACCCCTTGTTGCCTCCGATAAAAGCAATTGGGAAGCGAGTGCTGAATACACACTCGCTGGATATTTGTAGACAAAACCATGTTGGCAACTGTAAAGTTCCGAATGAAGTAAGCTTGTGTTTCTCCGAATGTCTAATGTATCAGAACGTGATGGTGTTTGGCCTGAACGACCCACAGAGGCAATCTGAAAACCGCTCCCCGTGACTGCTGCTCAATTCTCTTCCACTATCATCTCACAGGACAGCTTCCAACCGGCTTAAGAACATTACAGATATTAATACACGAGGAGTGTGTGGGGGCGAAAGCAAATATTTATAAGTGGCCTTTTTTTTTTACACACTGGATGAAAACTATTTCTCTTCTGAGATGGTCGTGGACGCGGTCGATGCGTTAGGATGACTGACTGATTGCTTCGCATGAACAAAATGTTGTATAGGTTTTCACTGGAGTATTTAAGATGTTGTGTATGGGTGCTTCACTTGAGGCAGGTTTCACGTTACATTCCAGTTCTTCAATTTGACCAAATCTGCATTAAAACAATTCCTCAAAGCCCCATTTGTGTGAAACAAAACATTGAAGAGAATTGCGTGGTGGAGCTTGAAATCCTGTTCTTTGTGTACATTGCAACAAAACCTTAAATCCCAGCCTAATGTCTCCTTGAGGCACCCATGTGGACATTGTGTGCTTAAAACTGCTAGATAGAGATGAGGATTGTGTCCCGTAAGTGGTTGACCTCCTCTCTGTCTGCGTATCTATTTGCTTCTATTGTAATTGTTCCAGATTCATTTCCATGTGTCTTATTACAGCCTAGGTGATGTGATAACACAATTGTTGCATCGCCCTGGCAGCCGTTTTTACATCTTTTTCCAGAACTGACTCTGCTCATTTGAGTTTTAGCAGTCGTCGGGCTTTAAAAATGTGCTGCTGTTGTGAAATCTCGCACTGGGCTGGGCCTAATCAACTGTTTTTATTGTTGTGTGTCAAGAGGACTATTTCTGTATACAGTATGTGAAAATGTTTTTATTTCTCTTGACTATATTATAATGGGTTTTAACCTGTGGGAAAAAAAAAGGAAAAAGCTCAAAAAGAGATAAGACCAAATAAAATGTAACACTCCTGAATTGTTTGTCACCTTATTCATATTATCGCAGAAAAAGTGCTTTCAAATCTGGGCTCAATCATTCAAGAATGCTCAGATGTCCCCTGAGTCTCTATAAGGACATACGTTTATATTTAACATTTAATTTAACTGTATCCGTGTCATTTTTATATATGTTAATTGTCTCTTAACTCACTTTCAGCTCTGGAAGCCCGGAGAGGGATCCCTGAAACTTGTCATATCAAGTAATTATTTCATGATTTCCGGATCATCATTCTGTGATCATAGGGATGTTACATTGATTTTGTGATTTTTAAATTCTTTTGTTTCAACACGATCACATACATTGTGAAAACAAGGTCCATTTAGTAACTGTTCTGGAGCCTTCAGTCATCATTACACACTTCACTCTTCCCGGAAACGGGAAATATCACAAATGTGTCTTATGGCAATCCATCCAGCAGTTTTGCAAATACTTTGAATTGTAATCCTTTGATACAAATGCTATATGGACCTGCCCTTGTCCTTTCTGCCTTTCTATAATCACCTCTGCAGGGCAGATATGAGCCATTACCTTCAGCTGGCAGCTCCAGTTGATATTCAATTGAAAACCATCTCAATCTTGGCACAGAAGCGAAAGGAAACATTCTGTCATTATCATATTACACCATCTTCTCATATCACTTACGGTCCATCAAATGGAATGAAGGCTACCGTGGTTCAGTGAACACGTACACACCGTGTATATGTGTGCCACATCTTCTATTTCTGTACTGTAACTGTGGGTGGAGGCTTTTTGTCAGCAGTCAGAACTGCTGCTTTACAGCCACAGGCAGATGAGGACCAGGTGAGGACGGCACCCTAAAACACACATTCTGGACCACTTGTTCCCACAGGTGGATGCACTCTTTTGGGGGATTCTTGTGTCCACTGCATTAGAACCTTGTCATTGGGCCCTCAACTGGTCCGGCTGCGGGATCCACCATCACCGCTTAATGACAAGCTGCGACCCAAATCGAGGAATCTTTTCACCTCTAATTTGTTTAATGAAAAAATGTTGCAGTAAGATCCTGAGTAAATGGACTGTACTTGTATAGAACTTTTCTAGTCTTCTGACCACTCAAAGCGCTTTAACACTACATGACATCATTCACCCATTCATACACTGATGAAAGGGGAAACCATACACAGTGACACCTGCCATCAGTAACTAACATTCATACACTGTAGTCGCAGCAATGTTGGGTTAAGTGTCTCACCCAAGGACACATCAACATGCGGGTTAGCAGAGCCTGAGATCGAACCGACAACCCTCTGATTGGAGGACGACCATGCTCCCCACTCACCCACAGTCGCTCCTGAGCAGTGCTTTCATGCACAAACATGAAATAGTCCAACTACTTTACAACGTTTTAATGCTGCAGTACACGTGGGCACATAAACGTGCATTTTGCTGAGTGCATTTCATTGTTAACTTTGAGGTGCAAATACCCCAAACTGGAGGACGACTTTTTATCTTATTTTTAGTCTTCTATTTTATTCTTATATTGCACCAAGTCAAATTCCTCTATGTGTAACATGTGTGGCATTAAATGGCTTCTGATTCTTGCATGTATTTGTATCTAGCTAAGCTCCGTGTTGGCCATGACACCTAGCAAAGCAATACATTGAAAGAAGGAAAGCAGAAAAATAACTGCGTGGCATTCTTCTGAACACCATGTAGGAGGCAATTAATATTCAAGCCATATCTGGATGCTTTCCCTTATTTAAACTGCTGTGTAGCTCTTTGACATTTGTTCTTGCTTCACATCGGCCAAAGGGAGCTGGCGTGAAGGAGAAGCGGCTCCACCAGGACCAGAGAGGTGGACAGTGAGGCTGTGACAGATGAGTACAATCACATATGTCTTTAGACTGACCATTTGTTGTCAATTAATGACATTACTAGTGACTTAATAGTGACTAAGAAGCCACGTAGGCTGTTGCAGTTTGGCCGGGTCTCGCAGTTGAACAGTATTTCAGCACCGCATCGTTAGTTAACTTTGTGGGTGTAATGTTCTTACAACTCATACCAAGGAACATGTTATTGATGATGGTATTACAGTTGTGAACATGACGTATTGTTTTGTACTAGAGCCAAATACGGCATATTCTGTAGAACAAGACATTCTCCCATGGACCCTGAGGTCTTACTTTTTCGCATTAATGTCATTTTTCAAGCATTTGTTCTGTGGCCGCCACAAATAATTCAATGTTTGGGAAACCCTGCTAGCGTCCACATTTGCTTTCTTTAAAATGTCCCTAAGAAGAGTACCTCGCTTTGAAGCAAATATTACATTGTATTACCACTGTGGAATTTTTAAGGCCCGTCACGTGATGCCATTAGGCAAAAAATAACTTTTCCCATAGATTTACATTTGAAAATAAAGGGTCAATATTCTTGTATAAGGAAAAGCAACTCCCCAAACAAAAAAACGTACGTAAATGGCCCTCATTGGTGATGTATTAATGTAGATTTCAACTTTGCCTGTACAGTACAAGCAATGATAATATCTTGTACTTTTTCATATTCATTTGGCCACATGGGCGCAGCGCTGACATGTGATGATCATCATCTCATCTCCTCATGAAGCTGC